GTTAATTGCATTTTATTGTGTACTTGGAGTTTCTAGGAATGCAGAAAAGTTATATCCCGGTGCTGTGTAGATACAGATAAAAATAGATATTGTTCAATGTGTTCAGTTTTCTCCATTTTCTATAACGTTTTATGAATTGTTACATCTCAGTATTTGCGAGGGAACTGCTAAATAAAGTCTGGACTCCTACAAACAACAACTTCTTCAACTTCATCCTCCTCTGGCTCTGGGTCAGACTCTGGCTCCAACACATAAGGCTGGATGGACAAGTCTTGCTTCATGACATATTTTAATTAACTTGTGAATAAAAAGTTTTTTTGTGCCTCCTTCAGATGTTTACCTGTATAATGAGCCTCAAAAATCCATAAGTTTTGCAAGAATCAATGGGGTGTGGGGGTAGGAGTTGCAGGCAGACTGTTGGCCACAGAGATGACCACACCTGCAGCAGGGTGAGATGAGGAAAGTAGAGCTTATTTATAGCAGCAGAGCGGGTTGGAGGATGGTTAATATGATTATTATTTGCTCATTTATTGTTTTAAAGAAAACTGTAAAACTTGAAAAAAATATTATGATTGCTCTATATGTCCATTTACCTGCACGAAAATGAGGGAAAATCAGTGTGAAACTAGAATGAACCACTCTGGAAGCTGCAGTGGGGCGGGTTGTGAAGCACCTCATTTGGATTTAAAGAGACAGCCTCAAAATGAGTTGATCCGAGACACACCTGAGAAAAGAGGAGGCTTGTGGAGTTACAATAAGGAGGAGTTCAGACCAAAGTATTGCAGTTCCACTTTATATAAACCCCGACTGAATGATTTAAATGTCAAAAAGAAGGATCTAAAAGCATGACATGTCTCCTTTAATAGAAATAATATGTCATTTTTGGTTGCTTGTGCTTAAATACCAACTAATTTTATAGAATTAACGTCATCCATGTGCAGTTGTCTTTCTGAGTGTTAAGGACCAACAGCTTACGTAATAATTATCTCACAACTTTCCTCAGTTGTACATTATTTTCACTTCTGCACAATCCAACAATAAATCAAACACTGTCCAAGCAGAGGACTCCCACTGCTGATAAGTATTTTATTTATTGCTGCAACTGATGGCTCGTTTATTTCTCCAGAAATACCATCTGGGGACAACTTCAGCCCACAGCGTTTACAACACTTGAATCAGGCCATCACACCATAAACTTCCCAATCAACGGAGAGTGCACCGCCTGCAACAAAAAGCAAAGTGTGCTCATGCTTCTCTCTCCATTTGAGTGACGCTGTTAGCCAGCACAGCCTTTTAAAGTCACACTGGAAAAGGTCAAGCTGATTGAAAGGACAATGACCCGGCCCAATGGTACATATCTGCAGTAATAAGAGTGTTTAGATGCCTTCCTGAGCATGCTGAACGTTAGTTGCCACCTTGTCAAGATGGAGACGCAGTCAGTGCACCCACCGCTTGGTTTGTGTGAGATGTAATTAGCAACTGTAGTTCTATTGATGTGTTTCATGTAATTTGACGATTCTTTCCACAGGAAGAGCTGAAATTTGTATTGATTGTCAACTTGAGTAAGCCAAGCTTATCACCTGACTCTCTTCCTCCTCACTTAGGAATCAATACAAATTTCTGCCTACAACCCCCTTCGCCCATCTTCACCAGCCCGAGAACTGAAGGTCTCGCTCATGCTTATCTTCTTCCTAAATCACAATGCCTTCATAGCGAGGTGCTGTTTCACAAAGCTCTGCTTCAGGCTCCCAACTCTCTGCTCATGAAATCTAATTACAGCCTCGCTCACTAATCTGGTATTAATTCACTCTAGATGAAGGTGATTGATAATGGCCCATGGTAAAGTCACCTAGGTCGCACGTCAACAGTCTGCCTTCAAAGTGAATGCCAGAGTTGCATCTGACAAATCAATGCTATGCTAGAGGACATCTGATAGGACTGCTGGAGGCATAAAATATTAAAGATGAGACATTATCACTATTTTTTTTTTCAAATTTAACAAAATTTCTTGTAGTCTTCATGGAATGTCTGTGATATGCTTTTGTCAAAATACAACAAAATTAAACTACTAAAGCTCTCTTAAAGCTCTGTCATATCTGAGTGAGTGTTGGGCAGGGCTCAGCCGAAGAATTGCACCCTTCATAAGCAGTGGTGTTTATACTTGACGCTTACATTGGTGTCTCCGAAAGGACATGTGGCAGTACACTTTTTAACTTATAAAATGTTGTTAAAAAGAGAAGAAATGCTTGACAAACTATTTGAATGGAGGTTGGTAGCCTGTGCGGGGTTATAAAAATTTGGAGGTATATACAACACTAAACCGCGGACGGCGCAGTTGTGTCATTGTTGGCGAGCACATCCTCCCACCATGTTCAACGTTTCAACTATAAACCTAGCTTTAATTACTTTTTGAGTCATTTTGGTAGCTGATTTTAATGGACAGTGAAGTCAACTTTGAAGTGTAAGTTTCTGTAATAGTATCTCATCAGCTGTGACGTACAGTGAGTCATAGAGCATGAAGAAAAAGACAAATGGCTTCATTCAGCCTAGGCTAATGACTGGTCAAACAAGGCTCAGCATTTTCAAGACTGTACCACAACAATTTTGCAAAAACAACATTTTGAGATGAATCGATGCTTCTTTAGTTAATATTAAACATCTAAATTTTGGCATGGAACTATTTAGTGTTTTGCAGTTTTCTTGACCAAACAACATCCATGTTACAAAAACCTCACTGGGATCTGCCATTTCATACTTTTAGAGTCTAACCAGAGTCACCGGGGGCACAGTGCTGTAAAATTGATAACGTCTGTACTACACATGCTCTCAACTCACAAACATTACATTGTCAATCACAATGTGGCATTTTTTAAAGGTTTTAATAACTAACTAAAACTAAATGTATTTGGGGGTTGAATGTGCATTTAAACTTACAGCAGCAAGGTAAGAGCTACGCAAATCAACAAACTCCTAAAAAGGAATCTGAAATGTATTTTTTATTATTTAGTTGGTGCAATGTCACCTTTCTTTACTTGGAGGGGTGGGGCTTAAGATTTGTACTGCAGTCATCCAGCAGGGGGTGCTTATCCTATGTGACTTCAACTTCTAGTTTTTGTTTTTGTCTTTAGCTTTAATACATCTCAGTGGTCTTAATTATTTAGTCCACTATTTTTGGTAGGTAATAAAATATCCATCCATTATCTATACCCACTTCTTCCTTTCAGGATCACGTGGGTCACTGGTGCCCATATCCAGCAGTCACAGTGCGAGGAGCGGGGTACACCCTGGACGGGTGGTAAGTCCATCACAGGGCCACACACAGAGACAAATAACCATTCACTCTCTCACTCACACCTAGGGGCAATTTAGAGTTACCAATGAACTTAAGAGTCCTGTTTTTGGTTTGTGAGTGGAAGTTGGAGTACCTGGAGAAAACCCACACATGCACAGAGAGAACATGCAAACCCTACCCAGAAAGCCCTCCGGACGGGTTCTGACCTGGCAAATTTCTTGCTGAGAGGCATCGGCTCTACCAACTGAGCCACCGTGCTGCCAATAATGCTGGTAATAAAATATATCGGAAGGAAAAGTTTCAAAAAACTTTTTATTGAATAACATTGTATGTACATTAGTTTTAAAAAATGACCATTGATTTGTGTAGGATTGAAAATGAAATGTGTGAGTTTCTTCAGAAATCTGCGACCAGACAACTGATTTTTTTTCTTTAAATAATGTAAGAGGTACAGCACCACACTTCAGGTTTAATGGGCTCTAATGGCTCATTTTAGACACTTCATTTTATCTCAATCTGTGACTAAAACCCAAACTATTTTAAGAAGCATTGAGTAAAGGGGACAATCCTCAATTATAGCCAATAACAGAGCAGTAACTTCATAACTGTTAAATTAATTTGAAGAGGGTAATGACACTGAAGCAGATGCTGGAGAGGCTAATTGTCCTCTACTGGAGTCACTGAGCAGGATAAACAGAAGCTGCACATGCATTTATCCTGCTTTTCTGGATGAGTAAAAGAAAAAAGGCTGTAACTTTTATTATGAGGTTATCAATACAGTATTCCTCCTAAGTGTGTAATTTAAGGAGATAATGAAAGCAGCAGTATTAGTGTTACATTCAGCTGTTCAATTCTTGTCTGAAACATTCGTATTTTTCATGTTCTGAACAAAGCTTTGCACTTTATCCTAGGTGAGCAGGACAAGAACGGGTCAGTATCGCTGGCTGCTGCGGGAGTGAAAGAAAAGGCTCAGGGGAGAAGAACAAAGGCAGGAGTCAGGTTTTTTTCCAGTAAAGGAGTGATACATCTGAGAGATAATGGACATGATGAAGCATTTCTATTGTGACTTCAAGACTCTTAAATTACCATCATGTAATTTGGTGGAAAATGTGTGAATAATGAGACGTGCCCACAATGAAAACCTTTTTTTTTGGCAAACTCATACAGCTCCTCACGCTGAGTAGCAGGGTCATGTTTTACACGCTCCTCTATTCATGCCAGCTTGATGAATTTGCCTCTCGTCTTTTACTACTTTTTCAAAAGAATGCTGGAGAACTTCATTTGTCATAAACAAATTGATTGTCTCATTACCCAAATTAAAAAAGTTGTGTGCTAAATCAATTTTCACTTAGCCCTTATTTAAAAGAGCTATATGTATGTTGCTTACTCTCTTTCTCCAGAGAAAAGGCTTATTTTAAGACAGACATCGAACCTCAAAGTGCTTCTTGCACAGAAGAATTCCTGATATTGACTTTTTTCCAAAACCCACAGAGTGCTTAGATAAATATATAAAAATAAAAATAAAAGAAGGATCACAGATGTGAGTAGAAGTTTGTTTTTCTGTTCAGGTTTCTCCCATGCATCTATTTTATGTGTGTCAAACTTTTAAGTGTTTTGCGTTTAAGCTTTACGTCAGAAGAGTGCAAAACATTAACAGGATGTATTAAAAGGATATATTAGAAGAATTAACTTGTAAACATCATTAAAATTTCAGTCATTTAAATCAAAGTTTTAATCAAAGTGTTTAAAAAATCTCAACCAGACAAAGTCAAATGTAAACAGCAGTGAAGTCAGGGGTTTAGTGTTTGTTTGGATAATAGAAATCATTTTAAACTTGTTACGTCTCTGAACGCAACTCTGGAATAAAACCTTTATAGAATAGATATGACAGATATTTAGGGGTCTATAGTGACCCCAAAATATCTGAATATGTTTGGTTCAAATCTCTTTACAGTTTATTGTTATCCCAGAACGTTTTCCATGTCTGATCAGGTTTATTGTTCAGACTGGATGAGAAGTGGCTAGACTGGGACCTGTGGGTGGTTAAATGATTGAGGAGTTCCAAGCTTTCTTTGAATCACTCATAGCAATAATGAGATGAGGGATTCAAAGAAATGGCAGCCCGCTTAGGGTGTGCTGGTGGGCATCCACACTTTGATGGCTGCTGATGAGTGGAGTACGTCCTGGGCCACTGGGGTGAGAGTTGGCAGGATGTGGGGTCTGACCAGATGGGGTCTCATCTGGCCCTTGCTTAGCAGCCCACCAGCCCATCCATTGACAAATCAGCTACCCTGACTGAAAACTGAGCAACAGACTGTGATTCCTAAATTTCAACAAACAAGGAAGAAAAGTATGGTGTTTAAAAAAAGAACAGCTTTGATTGCCAGAATTTTTAGAAAGAGGTTTTACATTGACATTTAAAATTTGACAAATGGCCAAAGATGGAAAGGTTGGGTTTTAGATGTTTGAAGATGATTTGCACAGCAGGAGAGCAGCAGACATGGGAGGGAAAACAAAAGATGAATCTGTGAATGATAATGGGACAAAAAAGACAAAAATTAAAAATCAGAACCTATTAAAAGAGAAAAAAAAGCAATTTCAGTTTTTCACATTTTATATATTGGCTTCTTTATGACTATATTTCAGTTACTTGGTTAGTTTTATGTTTTAAAGAAAATCAGTTGAGTGTAACAGGTTGAAAAAAGGTTTTTACAGTATATTGGTAAGACTTTATAACTGCACTTTATTTAGCCTTTCTTAATAATTACTAAATGGTTAGTTAACCTTAAAAACATCCCTAATTATTGATGTTTTTAGGGTTAGTTAACCTTAAAAACATCAATAATTAGGGACGATCATAAGTTATAAGTTAAATTAGTCTATAAAGCATTAAAAATGTGTTAATTTATAACTTAAGTATGACGGTTATACCACTTATTAATGATTAAATAAGGCTAAATAAAGTGTAGTTATTATAAACTTGATTATTAGTTAAATGCTTTACTTCATCTGACTTTAGAATAATAAAATACAATTTCGATCCAAAAAGGAATTCATTCTCGAAGCTTTGCTAGGTTTTGTTTTGTTGTTCTTTTTATCTTTGCATTGATCAAAGTCAATTACAGTTTTAGACACAATGCTTGAAGCTCGGATTTAATGTTTAAAAAAATCCATGTTTAATCATTTTTTTTGCCCCCGGTGGCAAAATACAACATACAAATGACAGTATAGTGAATGCAAATATCTCAAAATAAATCATAATGACACGTTTCATCCATGTCCTTTCTACGCCCACTATGTTAACAAATGAAGGCTGCTCTTGTCCGCTGGGAACTGCTTGTGGGAATGATTTCCGATACACAGCAGATCCCTCTACCGTCCGTCCTTTGAAAGCCCACGCTAATTCTCCTCCTCTGCACACACGGAGCTAAACAGGGTTCCCAGTGGACCGGGTCCACGCAGAGCCGAGTTAGCCGAGGTGCCTGGTCATGCATGAGAGTCAGCTGATGCAAATCAGTGAGAAATCCGCTCAAGGGAACAGAAGGTGAAGCCCTCCACTACTTTTCAGTCCTGTTGAACCAGTTCATCTCTCGGAAAACACGTGCAGTTTTCACCCTCATTTTCTTAGGGATTAAACAAAAACAGCTGATAAAAGTCCTAAATGTGTTAAACAAACATAGGTAGGTGTTGTCTCTGCAGAAGTGTTTGACGCTTTCGAATCCCAGAACCTCATTCCATTCTTCACACAAATAATGAGTCCAGACTCTTGCAGAACTAAGCTCACACAATTAACCTGCTGCCAAACAGTGAAAGTAATCAAGCCCAGTGAATCAAAATGTATAATTAAAATGCAAATCCTCAGAGCTCTTTGCAGCTCTAACTGGATTATTTCAAATTACTTGTCACAAAAGAGTGGCATTAATACAGTATATCACACTGAAAGCACTGCATCTCAGGCTGATGTTCTGGAAGAAACTTTAGATTATCGTTTGCTCATTAAAACTAAAGTGTCCTGAAATGACTATATTTGCTGTCAATTATCAAGTCTATTACTGAAACTGCATGAAAGGTTTCTTTTAGGATGAGTTAATGTAGAATTAGTTTTGAGAAAATGACAGATTTATTTATATTCCATTTATTTTTATTCATATGTTTCCTAACGGTGCAGAACAGTTGCGGCCTGTTGCATCTACAAACAACATATTGTACGATTTTGTATTTGTTGCTGTATTTTTTCTTCCTTAAAACACAGTTTTGTCATGTTGGTTTGGATGTTGTGCTGATTAAATGAAGTCTGCTGGCACTTCATAACATCTGCTATGACGATGAGAGAGATGGCCACTTGAAGAAACAGATGACTGAGCCTTTCCTCAAGGCGAGCCCACGCCTCCGACTGCTAAAAAGTTATTTACAGAAGCAAAGGACAGGGGCAAAATGCTGTGCAGGAAGGTGGAAGGGAGACACCGAACTGGCTTGATTTATTTTTTTATTATTATTATAATTTTTTTTTGCTGTATCTCACAATTACTTAGCAGAAAAAAGTAAAGTCATGCTTCAGTGTCACGAAAATACCACAAACATGCTCAAGTCTGGTCTTTAAGAGACAACATTGCTGTCAGGCCAAAACCTTCTATCTTCTTGTATCATCATTTGTATAGCTTTATATGGATCCACTTTATTTGTCAGCCTTCGCATCTGTTTGTGGTTTTATTGATTTCTGATGAATAAAACATGTTCAAACGAGTATGAGAATTTGTCAGCACATTAACCTAATTGACAAAGAGCAAAGAATATTGCATTTACTTTTGTCCATTTTCTGAAGTTACATTTTTGGAAAACAGGAGTATAATATTATTGGTCTGAAGAAATACCCATAGAAGGCTGGATTTTGTCTTAACTGAGTTAAATAAAAAACATAACTACTCCTGTAATCATTTTTGTTATTAACAGTAATTTGAATGTCATCCTTACATTGTGTCTTATTGTTACTGTATTGTTTTATACTTATCTGCTTTTTGCCAATGTTTCTCTCTGTGTATATTTTAGTTCCTTTGCTTGCTTTAGTATGTTTTTGTGACTCTTATGAGCCCCTTTAAGATTCATCCTGTGGTCATTTTGTGTCTCTGAGGAGTTATTTTAGATCCTGTAATGCTCCTTTGTCTCTTTGGAGTCTTTTTAAGTTGGAGGTTTTGTTGCTTTTTCTCTCTCTCTGGATGTTTTTTTTTTTTTTTTTTGTCTCTGTGGTTTTATTTAGTCTCACGCTCACTTCAAACTGATGCTTTCTGGACCATGAACCAATGCTTGCCTCCTCCAGTAATCCATTCATCATGTTTAAACATCAAAACGTAAATTTATTTAGAATTTATGTTATTTTCTTTTTTTAAAGAGACTTCTCACCATTCAAAGCATTAATCATGTGAGGCTTTATGTCAGCTCGCATAATGAAAACTAAACAGAACATTAAGTTGGTGCTGGACTTCTTAGCCATCTGCTGGTGCCGAGAATAAATTTGTAGCTTAAACGGCGCCGCGTGGCAGAGCCCGTGTGTGTGTTGCTTCACTGTCGCGCGCTGAGGATGGGGGTGGGCTCTCTCTTGTCTCATCACTGTCAGTGCCAAATTGAAATGAAGCGTGTCTTGGCTTTTGGGGAGGTGGCGGTGAGATCGGGGCATTGCTCATTTTGCTTAGCAGATTACTGAGGTGATGGGAGGGGTATTATGAAGAGTGATGAGCAGGAGTGGGAGGATCGCTAAGATGTAAAGCGCTTCATCTTGTGCCTCACTGAGCAGTGAGGAGATGAGGGCCAAACAGGTGGCAGAGCTCTCCGTCAAACTTCACACACACTGAGCATCTCCACTCAAAGAACTCAATTCAAACTGCGAGGCAGCGAGCATCTATGGATTAGTTTGTATTTGTTCAGTCAATAATGAGCAGGAGGTATTCCTAAATACATCAACAGATTATGTCAGGATCCAGATGTCTTCTCACTGGAAAATATTTCAGAGGGAAATATTTAAGCGGTAGTTCACATTATGGTCAGAGATTCTAAAAAATACTGGGCATTGCATTATCAAATTTTAAAAAAGCTTTCACAAAAACTGTATTTGTTTGCTTAAAATGCATAAAGTTTTACGTTTTAACTCGTGAGCTTGTAAGATGGTTATTTATATGTGACGTAGGGACAAAAACAAGTAAATTGTGTGAAACAATATATTGAAGAGGAAACTGCCTCAGTCGAACTTAAGTCTTCTGTTGCAATAAAATCCAACAATTTGTTATAATAATACGCTCACCCAAGCAACGCATTGGATCATTTTCTCCCACTTCTGGTATTACCCATTAAAATAAATGATCTTATTAAAATGGCCAGGAGACACCATCCGCCTGCAACTATGAGCTCATGAGGTCATTATAAAACAAGCTCATCACTGCCTTAAAGGGGACACATCATGCAAAATTCACTTTTGTAGCCGTTAAATGTGTTTGTTGTGTACTTGGGAGTCTCCAGGAGTGCAGAAAAGTTGAAACTAGTCTCTCCTGGTGCTGCCTAAGGTACCTTTATATTCTGTTGGATAATATTTTTCAACCCATTCAGTTTTTGTTTCTATTTTTATGACTTTTTCTGAATGATTACATCACGAAACTCTGCGTCACTTTATAGTCAGGGGTGTGAAGTGTCTTGTTTCAATTTGAAGAGACAGCCTCAAAATGATTTGATCTGAGACATGCCTCAGATAATGGGCGGGGCATGTGGAGTTACAATAAGGAGGAATTCAGACCAAAGCATTGCAGTTCCACTTTATATAAACTCCCTGGTTGATTCAAATGTGAAAAAGGATTTAATAGCACGTTATGTCTCCTTTAAAGAAATAATCTGGGCAGCTGTGTTAAAAAATCCACAGTGTGTCCACTATTGTGATTTATTCTACTTCAAATCAATCAATAAAATCAATCAAATCAGCTTTATTTGTACCCGCAGGTAAATTTGATTACAGTGAAAGTGAGTCAGATTTGTTCCAAGCAAAACACAAGACATATAGCAAGGACAAGTAGACACATGATTAAAAAAGTGACCAGGTTTTCAATGAAAACTCCCAACTCTAAATACAATATCAGACTAAAACAAGATAACATCAGGTAAAACTATATAAAAGCCAATAAAACAAAATAGAATACATTAAAAAAAACAACAAAAAAGATCAAGACTCTGACCAAGATCCTATTTAAATGTATTTAAAAAGATCATCAAGCTCCAAAAATAAGGTTTTTCACATATTACTATTGTTGCACTGAAATCTGGATAGAACATTACCAGTTGCAGTTTTTCGACAGAAATCAAACAAATAAACAAAAAAACTACAACTATATGAGCCACTACAACATGGCTGCAGCAACTATTTTGGAATAAAACTGTTTTTTGTGACTAACTTCAAGAAATTTGTTGCTTCACTGCAATCGAGCAGTGTTCTATATACGATCTACAAACCTTTCAACCCTGAGCCTACAGAACTGGGTTGATTTAAATG